TCCCCCCAAATTAGTTTACGGGGAGACTTAACAGAACTCATGTAATGCCTCAAATAGCAGAGTAAAACTCCATGCCTGCTGCTGCAGCTGTTGTTGTTAAACCCGCTGTGAACAAAAATTGCCAGAGAACCGAAACATGCGTAACGCAATGGAAAATTGCACAAAGAGAGCGGAGAGTGAGATGGGGGTAACGGTGTTATGGAACATAAAATTCAAATTGGAGATAAAACCCAGAGCAAAAACCACAACAAAGTAAATGTAATCGACCAGCAATTACAACAAAGTATGAACCGACAAAATAGAGAAAAACACACATACAAACACAAGTACACTCACGTGTGAAATTGCCACAGATATCTTAAATGTGGGGGGTTTAAAAAAAAGAATTGCCATAATTGTGAATTATATGGGGAGAGAAAGAGAGAATGCCAAAACGAGTGGCACGAGTTGTAACCACACAAAAAAAAGAGTTGCGAAATAATGAAGCAATGAACAACAACAGCAGCAGCAGCAACAAAACAAGAAAAAACGAAAAGAAACATTGCAAGAGAACAACAAATGGGCCAATAAAATTTGTATGGACCTGTTGCTGCCTATTATTGCCTACTTTTTTTGAAGAGATTGAAAGGTGGAAAGGGGGGAAATGATGGGAATTTGGAAAGGTAGACATGTAGACATTCAGTTACTCTATTTAAGAATCTTTATAGACTACGATTTGGATGGAAAGTTAATGGATATTGGGTCTGGATATTTGGAGAGCTTCTTAGTTTTTGGACCTTAACTAGGTTGATTTTATTCTAAAGGGATTCATTACTAATTTCCATAGATAACCAGTAAGGAAAAGTCAAAAATCGGGCAGGGTCGACTATATGATACCCTACAACATGCATGCATATTTAGTAGAGCTCCCGTAACAAAAGAATTTGGCTTTAGAGCAATTATAGTTGGGTTTCAGAGGGAACTTATATATTTCAGACGTATCCAATTCCGAATTGATTTTCACTAAATTTGACGGATAAAAGGTATTTCCTAGCTGTATAAGATATCTGGTATCAAATATCATTGTTGTCGAATGCGTTTTACGAATGTGAAGGACTTAAACACCAAATCGGATAAAACATTTATATGGGAGCTAAAGCTACATATGAACCGATTTTCATAAAAATTATATGTACTTCTAAACTGAATTCGGTCGGATGTGCCTAAATTCAGGTCATTTCGATGGATATTGACCATTTGGTACAAAATTAACGCGAACTCGGTTGAAGATATACAGGGTGAGATAAAAAAAACTGTAGCAAAGTCAAACGCCATAATTTTTGCATTTTTTTTAAATTTTATTGAATGAAAGCAAAAAATGTCGGAAATAGCACCAACTTTTAGAATAAGCTTAGATTTGTTCGAATTGGTCACCTTTGGCACGAATTATAGCCTTTAAATCGCCAGTGAAACCGTCACACGTTGCCCGAATGTTGCTCTGTGGTATTTTGGCCTATTCCGGGCGAAGCGCTTGCATGAGGTGATCGACACTTTGGTATTTTTGTACCCTCAGCCATATGGCTACAGAGGGTATATATCATTTGATACGGCCAAAACGTGCCTAGTCGAAATAACGGTTTTAGACCCTAGGTCTCTTTGGACCAAATCCGTTTCAGAACATTTGGAGTCGATCTAGCGAAGTCCGTCCGTCCGTCCGTCTGTCTGTCTGTCTGGCAGGCTGGTGCGCACGATAACTCTCGAAGGGAGTATCCGATTTGGTCCAAATTGGCTACATCGTAATATTTTTGTCAAACTTAGATCGAGTTCGGAGATGGGTAATATCGGTCCACTCCTTCTGGTACCTCCCCCACAAAAGGTCGAAATGTTCAAAAAATATATTTTTTGCACAGAAAGAGAAAGGATAATCCGATTCTTCTGCATCTTTGCATATCCTAAAATTTGCGTCAGTACTAGATCAGGTGTAGAAATGGACAATATCGGTGCACTCCATCAAGTACCTCCCCCACAAATGGTCAAAATTTTGAATAATTACAATCTCATTAAATGTAATGTAAAAGTCCGATTGTCTTCAAATTTCACACATCCTAATATTTGTATTAACCCATGGTCTGTTGTGAAGGAGGAATACATCGTTCCACTCCTTCTGGTACCTCCCCCATAAAATATAGAAATGTTGAGTACCCATGAAGCTCATAAAACGCCAAAGTAACATCCGATTCCATTTAGACTTGGCACATCTGTCGAAATATTTATATCATATTTTTGAGTCCGATAGGAAATGGGCAATATTGGCCCATTCCTTCGGGATCTGCTCCATAGAGGGTCAAACGTTTGAGTAATCTTAACACTAGTCAAAATATATTTAGATAATCGAACATAGGCTGAGGGTATATATCTGGCGGCAATACCGACTAATACTTTTTAACTTGTTTAGTGCCAACCTTGCTTTCCATAATACTCCAGAGACACAATAGTCCAACGGATTGGTGTCCGGAGATTTTGGTGGCAATTGTGCGCTGGAAATGAAGCGAGGAACCTGATTTTGTAGCCATTCTTGGGTGGCGCGTGCTGACTGCGATGGTGCTGAGTCCTGTTGGAATGTCCAAGGTCTGCGGCCAAAATCTTTGCGTGCCCAAGGTTTTATACACCCTCCAGAATATTTTCGCGGTAATATTCGGCATTTATTCTGATGCCACGGTCGATAATACGAGCGGAGAGCGACCATCGGCTGTTATGGCGGCCCACACCATCACCATGGCCGGCGCTTGAGTTCTGGTGGTGAACGGAAGGTGGACATTTTCAGCTGAACTCTTTGGCAAGTAAACACGATCATTTTGAGGGTTTGTTTACAAACTGCTGGACAAAGAATGTTTTCTCATCGGAGAAAACCAAAATCGGCAGTTCACCACTATCGACCATGCGAAGCGGTGTAGGTTCTTACACATTTTGCAATTTCAATAGCTTTACCCCGAGCTCATTTTTCAATACTTGCCGAATGGAATATTGCGATATGTTCAGCTCACTAGCCATTTTTCGGCCACTTCGACGCGGGTTTCGAACCATTTCTGCTGATGTTGCTGTTTTCTTCCGTCCACTTCCTTCACGTCGGGCTACGCTACCAGTTTCACGGTAACGAGCGATGGTACGAGACACAAAAGATTTATTCACATTTAAATGCTGAAGTGCTCTAACGATAGCCACTTGTGGTGGATAGCCACTGAAATCGGTTGGATGTACCAAAATTCAGGTCATTTGGATAGATACTGGCCGTTTGGTGCACAATTAACCCGAAATCAGTTGAACATTTATATTTGGGAGCTATATCTAAATCTGATCCAAATATCACTAATTTCAATAGGGTTCGTCCTTGGGCCAAAGAAATATTTTTTGGAAGACTTCAACTCAATCTGATAATAAATGTTACCTGCATTTTGTTCACAAAAATACATGGGCGGACGGACTGGCATGCATAAATCGACTTAGAAAGTGATTCTTTGAAAATCCTCAAAAGTAACTATGGGTCTATCTCGCTTCCTTCTCCATGTTACAACAAATGCATAAAGATATAATACTTTTGCCACTATGTTCTGCAGGGTATACAAAGGACATAATTCATGTTAAATTTTTTGAAATGTGGATAAATTTTTAAGAGTAGGAAACCAAATTCGAAAAAAAAAATGATCTTTACGGAATTTTCCTTATAATTAACAGATTACAAGCTTGAATAGGAATAGAAAGGTGCGAAAAGAAGAAAAATCTACACAGCTAATCCAGCAGAATATTTGAGAACGGAAACCAAAACAAATTTTAAGGAAGTTCCTATATGAGGGTTCTTGGCAAATTTGTGTCGAACTTTGAATACCCGCCACCATTTGGAAATTTTCAAAAAAAAAAAAAAAAACAAAGTCCTTAAAAAATTCTGTTAAAATGTTAAAGATAAAGAATATGGCCGTTATATTGGGGTCTATACGAAGACGTGGACCTGCATAAGCAACTTTTGTCATAAGCCATTACAATATAAAAATACGAAACTTGAAAAAAATCCGGCGAATAATCTAGCTAAAATCATCAAAATACCGAATATGGGGAGATAGTGATATATGGGGCCTATACAAACCAGGACATGCATAGACAATTTTCTGGCGTAGACTGTACGAACTCTATACAAAGAAGTGGGCTCGCTTACGATTCTTTGGCCGATATATCCCATCTTCGAACTTGACCTGGCTACAGACAAAGAGACTGACCTGTGCAAAATTTTAGCTTCTTATCTTTATCAGTTTCGATATTAGCATGATTACCACTATAAAAGAACTCTAGGTCTTTTATATGAAATAGTATATGTATTCGATATCATAAAGCTAGGTTTAGGTCCTCCTATATCATATATAATACCCCTAAGTCTTCTATATCAAAAAACAGTCCTCAAGGACTTCCATAGCAAACAGAAGACATCTAGGCCGTCTATTACAAAGAGGTGACCTGTAGTTCTTCTCTGTCATATAGCAAACCCACAGGTCTTCCATACAGGTCTTCTTTGTGAACAAGAAGATCTCAAGGTCAAATATAACATATAAAATTCCTCTATGTCTTCTATCTAAAATTGCAGATTTTGAGGTCTTTTATATTAGGGTCTACCATGTCACAATGAAGGACTGTAGGTCTTCTATGACAAAACGGAAGCACTTAGGTCTTCTATACCACACCAAAAAAGACCCTTATGTATTTTATATGAAATAGCTGACCTCAAGACCTTCTATAACGAACAGAAGACCTCTAGGTGTTCCATATCAAAAAAATAGTATCTCTATAAGATTCTTGAGATTTATATATACTTCTAAATGAATTAATGAAATTTCGATTAAGCAACCTTCTTCAAAAAATTGCAGACAATATTCCAGCAACATCCTCTAGGCATTCAAAGATGCTCCTCCATTTAATTACTTCGCACTAAATATCCCACGCCCCAATAATTACGCAATAATTTCGAAAAAACTTACCGCAAACATTTGTTGTCGCTGTTCGGACAGTAGCTTTTCGCTGGAACCCTTTAACAGCTGGGCCAGCAGCTCTTGTGTGGGCAGAATTTGGGTTGCATTGCCACCGGAGGCAGCAGCAGCAGCTGTTGTTGGTGTTGATGTTGATGTCGCCGTGGATGTTGCACCACCACCTCCAGCTCCAGCCTTGTGTTGTTTGCTCGTACTTGTCACATCCAGACTACGTTTCTGCTGATGGACATGTTGTAAGTGGTTCGAGGGTTTCTCTCCACTACTCATCGATTGACTGCGTTTGCTGTGACTGGTTTTCGTGGGACTTTCGGAAGCTGCTCGCTTCTGCTCACGTTGCAGCAGGGATGTCTTGGATTTGGAGGTCGGTGAGGTGGTTGCCGCCGATTTGGCATCACCTTTGACCATTGCCGCCGTTGTTGTTGTTGTCAACAACATATCGTCACGACCTATACTGGTCGTATCCAATGTCGATTGATATTTCTTTTCGAGCGGCTTAATTAGACGTAGATCATTATCCAAGGCGTCAGATTTACTGCCACTGGCACTGCCTCGACTGCCACTGATGTTTTCGATTTGTGATGGTGTTGAGGCGGCACGCGTATGCTGGGGCACTGGTAGACTGGTGCCGTTGTTGTTGTTGTTGTGATTGTTGCCAGTGCCTATTTTACGCACACGCATCGAACTGGAATAGTGGGGCAGTACATTGTGACTGCCACGACTGCCACCTGCGTCATCGTTTGTAGAACGCTGGCGCCTTGGTTGTAAGGAACTGCAAAAGAAACAAAAACAAAAAATAAACGAAAAATATAAACCGAAGCCAGACAAAACAGATTTGAGCGGAAACAACAAAAAAAATGCCAAGAGACAAGTCAATAATATTATTTGGTTAATAAAATTAAAAAAAAAAGGAAAATAAGCCAGGCGAGGTGAGGAAAATAGTCAAGAAAAACATGTACGGCGAATAACGAACTAAAATGCTCATCTGGGTGAATGTGCGAGTGTGTGTGTTTATGTGTTTCTTTACATTTTGTATGTGTGTGTGTTCCTAGATTCCAGGAAAATTGTGTCATTTTTATGGAAGAACTTAACTCGACCTCAAGTGCCGTCTGCCCACAAAATAAACTGAAAAGCACTACCCACATCATAATCATAATGGCGCATTTCCGGTTAGTGGGAAATCTAATTTTAGAGAATATTTTTCTAAAAATTGATTACAAAAACAAGAAATGTGAAAAAGAATCGGAAAGGTCTTCTTTGCCAAAAAAAAAAACAACTAATCTTTCGAAAAAAATAACAAACCCTGAACCCTTTTAATGGAAAATAAATACAAGGTCAGGAACTATTTAATTTGCCATAAAAACCATATTCTATGCCACATAGGAGACCTACAGCTCTTCTTGGCGTCAGAGAGAAGACCTACAGGTCTTCTGGGCGACAGAGAAGACCTACAGGTCTTCTGGGCGACAGAGAAGACCTACAGGTCTTCTGGGCGACAGAGAAGACCTACAGGTCTTCTGGGCGACAGAGAAGACCTATAGCTCTTCTGGGCGACAGAGAAGACCTACAGGTCTTCTGGGCGACAGAGAAGACCTATAGCTCTTCTGGGCGACAGAGAAGACCTATAGCTCTTCTGGGCGACAGAGAAGACCTATAGCTCTTCTGGGCGACAGAGAAGACCTACAGCTCTTCTAGGCGATAGAGAAGTCCTCCGAAGTTCTTGTAGGCGATAAAAAGTCCTCCGAAGTTCTTGTAGGCGACAAAGAAGACCTGAAGCTCTTCAAGGCTTCTTCTGGGCGACAGAGAACACCTACAGCTCTTCTAGGCAGTAGAGAAGTCCTCCGAAGTTCTTGTAGACGTCATAGTAGACCTATAGCTCTTCTAGGCGACAGAGAAAGGCCTCCGAAGTTCTTCTAGGCGATAGAGAAGTCCTCCGAAGTTCTTGTAGGCGACAAAGAAGACCTGAAGCTCTTCAAGGCTTCTTCTGGACGACAGAGAATACCTAGAGCTCTTCTAGGCGACAGAGAATTCCTATAGCTCTTCTAGGCGACAGCGAATACCTATAGCTCTTCTTGGTGACAGAGAAGACCTACAGCTCTTGTAGGCGACAGAGAAGACCTATAGCTCTTCAAGGAGACAGAGAAGACAAATAGCTCTTCTAGGTGACAGAGAAGGCCTCCGAAGTTCTTTTAGGCAATGGGGAAGCCCTCCGAAGTTCTTCTGGGCTACAAAGAAGACCTGAAGCTCTTCTATTCCAAATAGAGAAGACCTGAAGCCCTAATTGCCCACCACGTTACTTCTACTATTGTCAATAGCCCACCTAGTGAGCTCTGACATTGCCAATAGCACACCTCCTGGGCTCTGCTATTGTTAATAGCGCTCATCTAAGTTCTGCTATTGTCAATAGCACATCTCCAAAGCTCTGCTATTGTCAATAGCACACCTGAGATCTTCTATTGTCAATAGCACATCTCATGAGCTCTGCTACTGTCAATAGCACACCTCGTGAGCACCGCTATTGTGAATAGCACACCTCGTGAGCTCTGCTATTGTCAATAGCACAACTCCTAAGCTTTTCCATTGCCAAAGAACACCTAATGAGATCTGATATTGCCAATAACACCCCTCATAAGCTCTGCTATTGGCAATAGTGCACCTCCTAGGCTCTGCTATTGTCATTCATTCATTTTCTATTTTTCTCACTGCCTTTATCTGTTCCTTTTCTCTACCAAATTTTCTATGAAAACCTCTACTCACCCATTATCCTCTCTCAGCTCCTCGAGAATTTCTTCGAAATGCTTTTTCTGTGGTTTCTTCATTTCCGCTTCGAGCATTTGTCCATAGGGACCGCGCAAGGGACGCTTCGAGAACCGCTTAAAATCATGATCCCCAGAAACGGGACTATTACGATCTCGGGGAGGTGGTGTACGATCACTTTCATTATCCGACACAGAATCGGTACGCAAAAATGGAAAACTTTTATGTTGCCTGGGAAGGCTAATGTGTGAAGTACTCAAAGAGACGGGTGGCGAGGCCAATGGCGGATCATCTTTCTCTTCCGAAGATTGACAACTAAAACTGGACATCATGGGATTTTTGGACCACACCGGTGAATGGCGATACTCTGAGTCGGGGGTATTCAAATCAAAGGAATACAGCGAAGCTGGAGTCTTGTTATCGTCCGTAATGGGACTATTGATGTACATCATATCATCCTCGGAGGAGTCGGGTTTTATGGCATTCAAATTGGCTATGGAAATATCGAGGGCTAGAGATTTGTGCGATGTGCCATCCGGGGCATCGGAGGGCTCATGCCAGTTCTCAATGTAGATGCCCTTACGTCTGGTGGACATATCCGCCTTTCGCCGATCATCGGAACTATGGCGTGTGGGTATGTTGTCGAGGGAGGAACGATTCTCGTTGAGCGCATCCATGTCGGTTTTGGAATCCTGGCATTCACTTTCATCCGATTTGGAAGATTTATCGGGTGATTCTTCCTTTTTCCTTAGCAGTTCCGTGTCGTCCATTTCATCGGAGGACCTCCGTACCGAAATGGTGGGTACCGTCTCACTGTCGGTTTTGGTTTCAGGTTTTTCAATGTTACACTGATCCAGGGTAGCCAGGGGTTCAATGGGTTCGGGTAGAATTATGAATTCCTCAGGGGCCACCTCCTCCCATTCTTGGGGTGGATTTTCCAAACCCCATTCCTGGGCAGCACATTCATAGACGGGAACTGGTATCAAGCAGGTTGTAGCTGTTTGCAGGAAGTTGTCCGGGGGAGATTCCAATGGGATTTGTTCCTCCATTAGAGTGGCCAAATTGGGAGCAAGGCCATCATTCCCTGGAGTGGCCTCCGTGGTGGGTGAATTTGGTGTGGAATTAGCGTCCTGGCAATCAGATTTGGCTTCTGCCAAATTGCTGGCCTCCACTGTCACCGGCACTTGGCTCTCATCAATGACATAATCATTATCCGATTGTATGGTATCGGTGAGGGACTCCATTTTGGCATGACTGGCCTGGATGGTGATGACACTGGCTGCTTCCAGTTTGTCATTATCCTCCGGCAGCTCATGTATGGTATCGGCCATGAACACCTCCTCTTCGGGTATCAATTCCGGCGATTCCATGACGTCCTCTAAACTCTTGTCCTGACCATAACACAAATTAATACTGAGATCAGGTTTCTGCTTCAAGGGGATATAAATCCAATCAGGTTCCTTTTTCGCCGCCGCCGCCTCCACCTCTGCCGTCTGGGGAGGGCTTTCCTTTTCCTCCACTTTGTCGTTGGATTTCTCTTCCAATTTCTTCCGGGGCCACGTCAAACTGTCCACAACGCTGTTGAATATCGACGACGACGTCGAGGGACTTGTCCCATCCACCGTCTTGTCACGTCTCAAACGATCGCGTAGCGCGGCAAGAGCCGATTTCTTGTATTTACCCGCCGAATAGTCGATTTGCGAAAATGATGCCGAACGAAATGGCATTCCCTTGGGACTGATGGGACCAACAGAATCCGTGCGCGTCACTTTGCTTTTGCCTGCCTTCAGACCACTGCGCTTACTACTTGCCTTGGCCGTGGCCGATTCATCTTCTGACAGACACTCGAGCAGGCCGCTGGCGGATGGTGGCGGAGATTTCGATTCACGTTTCATTAGCAACACTTCCAGATTGGAGAGCGAGGCGTTGCTCTTCAGATTGGTGGGGGAGGCCAGCGGTGTGGCCGAGGCCGACAGTGATGAGTATTTGGCATTGTTTACATTTAATTGCTCGATGCCCTTCTCCTCCAGCACCACCCCCGATTCCATGGAGATTTGTTTTTGTAGATGGCGCAGTGGTCGTGAGGTTTTGCTTGGCTCGTCTTGATCCATTAGCAATATATCATCGGAATGCGTCGACATGAATGATAGAATTGGTTCGTTGTTGTTGTTGGCGTTGTCACTGCAACGATTGCTGCCACTAAGGCAATTGCTGTGGCCGTTATTGTTGTTGTTGTTGTTGGCTGAGTTTTCCGCCAACAAAAGTGACGTTGAAGGTGATGATTTTTCACTGGCATCCGCCTTATCAAAACTTGTAGAGGCCGACGATGGTGTCGAGGAACGTTGTTTTCTTGGCGGCGGCACCGGCGGTGGGGTGGGCGAAGAACTGCGACCCGCACTGCCGCCACCCGCCTTATCGCCACCCACTCTCAACAATTCGGTGAGTTCACGCAACCGTTCAGTTTTCTCGGATGATTTGCGTTGTTTCGAAGTGCCACACGAATCAGCTGCTGTTGTTGGCGTTGTTGTTGCTGATGAATTTTTGTTGGACACGTTTGTTGTGCTCGGCGATGATTTGCGGCCAAAACCTAAACGCTGAAAACGATCCAATGTATTACGTCGTTTTTCCATGGTGATCTGAAAATAGGCGAAAAGACGAAAAAACAATGAGAAAATGATTACCAAAATAAATTGAGGGAAAATGAAATAAACAAAGAAAATCGGAAGAAATTGGGAGAAAAAAGAGCGAGAGAAAGAATTTACACCAGTCAACAGGATTTCCTGCACATTTAGGAAAATATATTTTTATAAGACTCTAACTTTGGTCTTCTTTAAGGAGAAGACCCCTGTACAGGCCTTCTATAGAGATACCTTCTTCAGAGACCTAGAAAATTAACGTTAAATAACCTCCTTTAATGAGTAAATAGGTCTTCTGCAACGGAGACTTTTTCATATTTCTACCGGGAGAAGAGGAGAGAGGTCTTACATATAGGGAGGCCTTCTGAAGGTCTTTTTTGTATAGAATGTCATCCAACTAGAAGATCTTCTGAAGCTCTTATATGGCTAGAAGACCTTATAAAGCTCTTCTATAGCGAGAATACTTTCTGAAGTTCTTCCAAGGCTAGAAGGTCTTCTGAAGGTCTGCTATCGCTAGAAGACCTTCTGAAAATTACATTTTCTATATATAAGAACTTCTGAAGCTTCTCTGAAAACAAAAGACTTTTTACAACTCTTCTATGGCTAGAAGGACCTTCTGAAGCTCATCTATAGCTAGAAGACCTACTGAAGCTCTTCAATGGCCAGAAGACATACTGCGGCTCTTTTATAGCTAGAATACCTCCCGAAACTCTTCTATAGCTAGAATAACTCTTCTATAGCTAGAATACCTCTCGAAGCTCTTCTATAGCTGTAAGACCTTCTGAAGCTCTTCTGTAACTAGAAGACCTTCTGCGGCTCATCTATGACTAGAAGAAGTGCTTCAGTCTTCTATGGCTAGACGACCTTCTAAAACGTTTCTATGGCTAGAAGGCCTTCTGAAGCTCTTCTATGGCTAGAAAGCCTTCTGAAGCTCTTCTATGGATAGAACACCTTCTGAAGCTCTTCTATGGCTAGAACACCTTCTGAAGCTCTTCTATGGCTAGACGATCTTCTGAAGCTCTTCTACGGCTAGAAGATCTTCTGAAGCTCTTCTACTGCTAAAAGATCTTCTGAAGCTCTTCTAAAGCTAGAAGAGCTTCTGAAGCTCTCCTAAAGCTAGAAGAGCTTCTGAAGCTCTCCAAAACAAGAAGACCTTCTAAAGCTCCCCTAAAGCTAGAAGACCTTCTGAAGCTCTTCTATGGCTTGAAGATCTTCTGAAGCTCTTCTATAGGTACAAGACCTACTGCAGCCCTTCAATGGCCAGAAGACATATAGCTAGAATACCTCTCCTATAGCCATAGAAGAGCTTCAGAAGGCCTTCTGGCCATAGAAGAGTTTTAGAAGGTCGTCTACCTATGGAAGACCTTCTGAAGCTCTTCTATGGCTAGAAAGCCTTCTGAAGCTCTTCTATGGCTAGAATACCTTCTGAAGCTCTTCTATGGCTAGAAGATCTTCTGAAGCTCTTCTAAACCTAGAAGAGCTTCTGAAGCTCTTCTTCGCCGCATAGAAGTGCTTCAGGTCTTCGTTGCCGCATAGAAGAGCTTCAGGTCTTCTTTGCCGCATAGAAGTGCTTCAGGTTTTCTTTGCCGCATAGAAGAGCTTCAGGTCTTCTTTGCCGCATAGAAAAGCTTCAAGTCTTCTTTGCCGCAGAGAAGAGCTTCAGGTCTTATTTGCCGCATAGAAGAGCTTCAGGTCTTCTTTGCCACATAGAAGAGCTTCAGGTCTTCTCTATTGCCTAGAAGAGCTTCAGGTCTTCTTTGCGGCATAGAAGAGCTTTAGGTCTTCTTTGTCGCATATAAGAGCTTCAGCACTTATTTGTCGCATAGAAGAGATTCAGCTCTTCTATTTGGCATAGAAATGCTTTCGAGATCTTCCCTGCCGCCTAGAAAAACTTTGGGTTTTCTCTGTCGCAGAGAGGAGCCTCTGGTCTTCTCTCTAGAGTTTCGGATCTTCTCTTGGGGGCAAAATAGTGGATTTTTAAAAAACAAAATTTCAACACACCTTCAATGATCTTAACCTTGGATTTTTCAAGTAACTCTTCCATGCTTCTCCAAGGCCCTAAAAAGTGAATTCTTTAAATTATGTTTTTACAATTCTTCAAGGCCCTTCTAGGTTCTAAATCGTTGATTTTTTAAGATTTTTTTAGTACTCTTTCAAGGGTCTAAATTGTGGATTTCTTGAAAAATTTTGAAAACTTGTTCAAGGGCCTAAATTATGAATTCTGCAATACTTTTTCAATGTCCCTTATCGTGGAACATTTTTAGAATTTTTCAATATTCCTCCAAGTGCCTAAATCGTGGACCTTATAGAGAATTTTTGCTTAAACCTTCAAAGGCTCATATCGTAGATTGGTTTAAGGAAAAATTCAAGGGCCTAAATGTGGACTTTTCAAAGAGTTTTTCAATAATTCTTCAATAGATCGTCAGGGGCCTAAAACGTGGATTTTTTGATGAATTGTTCAATAGTTCTAAATGGCCTAAATCATGGACCTTATAAAGAATTTTTGCTTAATCCTTCAAGGGCTCAAATCGTAGATTGGTTTAAAGAGAAATGCAAGGGCCTAAACGTGGACTTTTCAATGAGTTTTTCAATAATTCTTCAAAGGTTCGTCAGGGGCTTAAAAAGTGGATTTTTTAATGAATTGTTCAATAGTTCTAAATGGCCTAAATCGTGGATATTTTTTTTATGAATTTTTCAATCCTATTCCAGGGTTCGAATTTTGATTTTTTTTGAAGAATTGTTAGAGGGTATTGAACAATCAAGACCCTAAAAGTGGATTTTTTCAAAGAATTTGTTAATAATACTTCAAAGGGACGCCAAGTTCCTAAATCGTGGATGGTTAGAAGAATTGTTCGATTGTCCTGAATGGCCTAAATTGTGGATTTTTTTAAGGATTTTTCAACACTCCTACAAGAGCCTAAAATTTCTAAAACTCCTACGAAAAAATTTTGATAATCCTTCAAAGGGCCGCCAAGTTCCTAAATCGTGGATGGTTTGAGAAAATGTTCGATTGTCCTGTATTGCCTAAATCGTGGATTTTTTAAGATTTTTTTCAACACTCCTTCAAGGGCCTAAAATTTTTAAAACTCCTACGAAGGCCTAAAATGAATGTTAGCAAGGCAGTGATCATGGATCTTTAAGATTCTGCAGAGACGCTCTGTTGTGGATAACAATTTAGTAGTCAATATATATTAGGGATCTTCTAGACATTCCTCTATTTCTTTTCTCTGTAGTCTAGTGTCATCACCGCCCGTTTATATGATGCAAATCATTTCTATGGCATTGGGGCCAAGCCATTACTAAAATCAAATCAAACGAAGCGAAGGAGAATGGCAAAATGCTAAACAAACCAAATTATGTTGAATAGGAACAACTGAAAAACACAAGAAGCAAAAGAAGATGCTGGTGCTGCTGCTGATGATGATGAAAAAACGCAACAACTGTTTTTGGTAATTTCATCAATAAATTTCAAAATTTATGTTTTGTTACTGCAACAGTTGAAGCGATGTGTACCTCAGTGAGCCCAACACAAAATGCTATTATACCTCTTAATAAAGATTACACATTCTCTCCTCTCCCCTCTCTTCTACCATTCAATTTGTGTAAGTACCCCATTTGGGGAGGCCCTTTTAAATGTAATTACATTTATCTTTCAATCTTCAATACTCTGATCAGCTATTGTAACTCTCCCCTTTTTTGTTTTGTTTAAATTCGATTTTCTCAATATTGATCGCAATAATACGAACGAACACCTTGTGCATATTTGTTTTTCTTTTCGTTATTCATTTTTTCGTCGTCGTTGTAGTTGTTGGTGTTGTTGTTTTTATTTTATTTATGTTAAAAAGTGCAAAATCAAAACAAAAAAATTAAAATGCCTCTCAGTTAAAAAAATATATGTATTAAAACAAATATCGCGCAATCTTCAACGAAAACAGAGAACCGAGCAGAAGAAGGACTAGTAGTTGTTGCCGAAATACTGAAAAATAAACAAGGCACCTATACAAAAGCAAAGTATTCAAAAGATGAAACTATGCGTGTGTGTGTGTGTGAGGGAAGAATACAAACCTACAGCGAGAAGCGAAATTGAAGTATTCCATCAATGGAAGGATGATCTATTAGAAGTAGATTGTACACAGAGGAGAACTTTAGGCTTTATTTGGTATAGAAGAGTTCCAGGTCTTCCGTTTGGCATGAAAGAGCTTCGGGTCTTTTATTTGGCATAGAAGAGCTTCAAGACTTCTTTGCCTCATAGAAGTGCCTCATGTCTTCTCCAGGTCTTTTTTAGTGGAATCTGTTGGAAGTTTTCCATATGAAGGGGATGTCGAGGAGTTACAAACAGAATAACAAACCTAATAATAATAAAAGACTTCCAACAGATTCCACTAAAAAAGACCTGGAGAAGACCTGAGGCACTTCTATGAGGCAAAGCGGTCTTGAATCGAAAAATATAAAGATTTTCTTGAGACTAGATTTTCTTTTTCTTGAGATTTTAGCTGGGCCTACACATTTGATATTTAAAGAGCTTATGGGTCCAATCTAAGGATTATATCGTGGATTTTCCCCATCGTGTTGCAAAGAATTATTTAGAATTTGTCAGCTACGATATACTGTTAAAATTTTCATTTTTTTAAATAATTCTTGAAGGAAGACTACCTCAAGGCCCAAATTGTGGACTTTTTGTTTTTCTATGGCGTAAATCGAACCAGACTTGGGGTACTCAAATGTCCATGGGGCAAAAAGATAATTTTTTAAGAATTTTTTGTATACACCTCCAAGTCCATAAGAAAGGAGTTTTGAAGACTTACAGCGTGGGCTATCAGGAAAGAAAGAATATACCTCCAAGACCAAAATTCGTGGCTTTGTGAAGACCACTAAGAACCAAAATAAGGTATTTCTAGGGTCCACTCTAAGAGCCAAACTTATAGTTTTTAGCGATGTTGATGGCACTTAAGTCGTAAATAGAAAAAAACCAACCCCAAGAGTGGGTTTATTTTTGGATT